ACATTGGCTGAAAGCTGAGAAAAGGACCTACGCAACGAAGTATGACAAGACTGGGTCTGGTCCCCGGCCTGGTCCGTCCCAATACCAGAACCAGGTTCTAACTAACTCTAAGGGGGCTTAGAACCAATGTAGCCGCAGCTATGACACAGCCAACTGACAGTTTCGATCAAAAATTCACCCCGAACTCCTGCTCGCTGTTCGAAAACTAAAGAAGCAGGTTCTGAAATTCTCTGACCGTGAGCGGCACGAGGGTTTCAGGGCTCTGCCAGTGTATTTTATAATCGGCTGCTCCCACCGGTTAGTTTTTTATGGCAATTTCAAAATTATGTCTGATTTGGCAGTCCAACTGTCAAAATTCTTCCAATCCTATTGGAGAGGGTTGTGACAGTCTGGACTCTGGGCCTGATTGCCGGAAAACTGTAAGGCCGAGGTCAAAAGCGGGCACACCGGCCCAAAGAGGATGCCGGCGGCTACGTTTTGAGGCGCGAGAGGCCGGAGTTTGATTTTTTTTCGATGAACGTCCCCACAAGGCTCTCAGAGGCTTAAACCAGCTGACCTAGAGTGTGGAGAAGATTCTTTGACCTACTAAATTCCAGTAAAACGTCAACAGCGATTGCAGGCAAACGGTGCGAGATCTGGCCTCGTGGCTCCGATATGGCGGAGGCCCGTCTTTCGTGACCTCGTTTGACCGTTCAATGTTCGAACGAGGTCTCTCGGACGTTCCCATTCATTTCCTATTGGGCGGCTGTTTTGCCTCTTTTTCGCCGTTTATTTGAAAAGGCCTGGGCTTTTGTGAAAGTTGTATACAAGCACACATGGCTAGGTCGGTCCGGACACGCGTGCCTATTTTGGGCCCGATCCGCCGAACCGTGCGGGAGGAGTGGCAGTCCGCAGAAGCGGGAGAATTATCAGTGACGGAATAAGTATTTTCGATAATAATAGGGGGGCCTGCTGCTGGCAGTGGCCCCTCTAACTAGAAAATTTCAAAAGAAATTTTGAGGGGGGCCACCTACTGCCCGTCCAGGAACCCAGGGCTGGGTTCCCAGGGCCCTCAAAAGGGGCCTGGCAGATTGGGCAATTGATATTTGGGCATTTATTAGCGATGGCTCGTGCCTATGAGAGGGCCTGAGGGAGAGACGCAGTGCTCTGGGGCCCGCTGACCGAATGTAATTGGTTCGAGGAGGTCGAGTCCTACGCAACGAGGTATGACATGACTGGGTCCGGCCTGGCCCGGTCCGGTCCCAGTACAAGAACCAAGGGCCTAACTAACTCTAAGCCAGTGTTTTTCAACCACTGTGCCTCGGCACACTAGTGTGCCGTGAGTGATGGTCAGGTGTGCCGTAGAAAATCATCCTATTTCACCTAATTGGTCTAAAAAGATTTTTTGATAAGGAATTAATTATCTGCAAATAATATGCCATTTTTGAGTGTCTGTGCTGTTCTAGTGACTGGTGGCGTAATCATGTAATAATTCCTTATGACTAGATTTTGTATTTAATTTTGCATATTGAAGTGGACATGTTAAGTGCAATTTGAAAGAAGAAATATAAAATATGATGAAAATACATTTTTGTGTTTATTTGATTCCTATTGAAGACACTTAAGA